GATACAAAATCAATGTACAGAAATCAGTTGCTTTCTTATACACTAACAATGTAACTGTAGAAAGAGAAATTAGAGAATCGATTCCATTTACAATAGCACCAAAAACCATAAGATACCTTGGAATAAACCTAACCAAAGAGGTAAAGGATCTATACTCTAGGAACTACAAAACACTCATGAAAGAAACTGAAGAAGACACAAAAAGATAGAAAAACATTCCATGCTCATGGATCGGAAGAATAAGCATTGTTAAAATGTCTATGCTGCCCAGAACAATCTATACCTTCAACGCCATCCCAATCAAAATACCAATGGCATTTTTCAAAGTGCTGGAACAAACAATCCTAAAATTTGTATGGAATCAGAAAAGACCCCGAATCACCAGGGAGATGTTGAAAAAGAAAAACAAAGCTGGGGGCATCACGTTGCCTGATTTCAAGCTATATTACAAACCTGTGATCACCAAGACAGCATGGTACTGGCACAAAAACAGACAGATAGACCAATGGAACAGAATAGAGAGCGCTGGCACACTTTCTGAACTTTGATAGTCATTTAAATTTTATGGGTCTGAAAATTTTTTTCTCCAAATTTTAATTTAAATTACAGGTAGTTAACATATGGTGCAATATTAGTTTCAGATGTAGATTTTAGTGATTCATCACTTAACATACAACACCCAGTGCTTATCACAACAAGTGCCCTCCTTAACACCCATCACCCATTTAACCCATCCCCATACCCACCTCTCCTCCAACATTCCTCATTTTGTTCTCTATAGTTAAGAGTCTGTTTCTTGGCTCACTTTCTTAATAATGTAAATTAAAGAGTTGGGCCAGAGGAGGGTCTCTAAAACTCTCTGCTTAGAGACCTAATTCTAAGTATTCAGTGGGGACGAAAATTCTGCAAATGTCATCTTCAGATACATACATAATGTATGTACATATATATGAACCGGAATTCATGTAACTACCTATCATCAAAGGATCAGAACAATGAGCAGAGAGAAGTGAATTGAAAGCAATTAGGAATGTTATCTCTATTGATTATGGCAACCATTTTCTGAGTACTGAGACCTTTACAATATGAGAAATTCCCATGGGATTATATAATGCCAAATAGTGCTTATTGCAGTTGGTCAATTTTCATCTCATCAGCCCTCTCAGCAGCAGTAAGTAAGAATTACTTTTTATCCATGGCTTTTCCAAACCTGGAATTTTTCTCTTTTATTTTCATTTTTTTTGCCAATTTCAGCGTTATGACATGGTATTTGAATATAATTTGGTTTCTGCCTTCCCCAGAAGACTCCTAGGATTGAGCATCTTTTCATTTATTCTGTGAAATTACTGTGCTTTTCTTTTGCCTATTTTCCCCTTGTTCATCTTGTTTCATATTGATTTATCAAAGTGCTTCACATATCCTGGGTGGTAGTCCTTCTTAAATTAATATGGTATAAAAATATTTTGGGGGCGCCTGGGTGGGTCAGTTGGTTAAGCATCTTCCTTCGGCTCAGGTCATGATCCCAGGGTCCTGGGATCAAGCTCCACGTCAGGCTCTGTGCTCCATGGGGAGTCTGCTTCTCCCTCTGCCCCTCACGCCACTTGTGCTCACTCTCTCTCTTTTTCTCTCTCTCTCTCTCAAATAAATAAATAAAATCTTTAAAAAATTATTTTCTGGGTG